GTATCCTTCACTGAACCTGATGTTGAGGAAGCGTATAACTTATCCAAAAAAAATTTTACTGACGAGCTCTTTAAAAGATATAAACACTCGCAAGTTGAATTGGAAGAATGTAGAAATCGAATTGAAGAATTGAAATTCCACCATGATGAAGAAAAGGCTGGTAAGGAACGAGCGCTTAAAGTTTTAGCGGCATATGTGAAGCAAACTAGAGATGAGAGGCAACAATATTTCCAACAAATCAATTCACTCGAAAACATTGTCATGATGTTGATGATGAAAACCAAAAATTCAGCTGATCATGGTAAGTTATCTTAAATTTAGTAAAAGAAATGTGATACTGGTTGACCTGAAAGGTTGTCTCCAAAAAATTCAAATGAAAGTAAATCAAGTGTGAATCATGAAACTCATTTCTGTTTGACTTTAATGTCCTGATTGTATGAAAAACCTGATGCTATTATATCTCCAATTGCTGAGTTATCATAGACATTTGAAGCTCTTTAGTTGAATTATCACTCTTGTCCCCGACCTTCATTATTAGTGATTACTTTATTAAAATGAAGTGAACGCTTGAATTAACCTCTGCACTACTTCAGTATTCGCTTAAATCACTATAAGCGAATATTATTACAATTTGTTAATCAATCTCTCTTGTTTGTGGTAACTACATGAAAAATCAGCGTTAGTTTGACCCAGGGCGCTATTTCACATTTCTTTTATCAGAGAAAAATTCAATTTGTTTTTAAATGAATGCTGAATAGAGTGATTTAAAAACAATTTTTTAATCCTACGCACTTATTTATAGGTTCTAGATTGGAGGAAAAGATATATCCATCCAGTAATAACAAGCCGATAACATCCAGAAAGTCTGATATTGAATCTTATTCTAGTCACAGCGAAGAAGTCAACATCAACATGTCCTCTAAAAATCTGGCCTCATCTATTATGGGACCTCGTCAGGCCTGGATGGACACTGACTTATCACTTGAAAATGCTTCTTTGATTGAAGCAATCGATGAAATTGCCCGAGATTGTGAAAAAGACAGAGAAATGAACAGTCTTACAGGTATTGCATATTTACAACTGTATCATCTTGATTTTAAATTGTAAATAACCCGTTCTCATAGGTTTTATAATTTCATCTGACTTATTCCTTTTTTCATTCTTAATTTTTCAGGTCTAATTTCACACCAGGGTAGATATGCCTCATCCGGTATGGTATCTTATCATCTTCAGCAAACTTATTGTACATTACCTCGTTACATTTTCACTATATCACCATTCTGCCTTCGTTCTCGTTCGTAATCAAATTTGATTTTGGTGTAGAAAGTAGATTTCATTTTCAATTACTTTCAATTTATGACTGCATTTTTATCAGCCAAAATTTTCTTGTTGGAGTCACATATTTCTGGTTATCTCGTTTATTCATTGTCTTTTCATTTTCAATAACAGTTCGAGTTCTCAATAACTTAATTTCAAATTTTTGCCTTTTTCGATGATTTAGATATTTTAAGAGCAACAAATGTTGAATTCTCACCTCGAATTGATATTATGAATAATGATGCACTAAATATTGCCTTTCTCTTGCTTTCCAACAACGTAAATGTCTTCTTATTTTATCTATTATAGCTTCTAGGTTCGAGAAAAGATTACAAGAGTTAAAAAGCGAAAATGAACATCTTCGAAGCCACCGTGATTTCGTGTTGCGCAGATTAATAGAAGGTGATTATGGAATGAACACTGGAAAAACAAAAAAAGTAAATAAAGAAGCTGAGAATACCGAAACGAGAGTCAAACCTACTACAACTATCGAAAATGTCGAAAATGAAAGTGAGAAAGAAAAAAACGTTAAGCAATCTGACTCAACTGTGCCTACCAAGGAAATACCTGTTAGCACAGATACATCCATTAAGTTAGGTGCTTCATCAGATGTTAAAACAGATTCAAGTGAACTAAGTAGAGCTCTAGAAAAAGAGAAGACCGAAATTAAAGATGTTTCAGACAAAACTGACAAGCCTGTAGATAAAAATGTTGCTAAAGCTAATGAACCATTGTTTGATAAATTTAAACCTACACTAGGATCAATGTGTGTAAAGTGTTTTTTTCAGAACAAACCCACTGTCAAGTGTATCACATGCGAAAAATCTAAAAAAAATGATGAGCTGAGATTGGCTTCAAAGGCTTCGCCAGCAAAACTAAATCAACAGAGCAAAGCTCATCTTCCAGCTCTAATAAACCCATTGGCTTCGGGCTCTGAAACTTCTAAGACTATAACTCTTACTAGCAGTTCCTCATCAACATCAACATCATCTACCCCTACAACCGCTAGCAGCTCGCTTGCTTTTGGAAAGTCAACAGATTCAAATAAAAATTTAATAATGTCTACTGGTTCTTTAGGCGAGTCTTCACAAACAAAAATATCGTCATCAGGGGTTTCATCTAGTCTAACAAAACCAATTAGCACAACTGCTTCAGTTTCGCGTGATGAAACAGCTTGCACAGCTGCAAAACTCACTTCTGGAAGCACCTCATCAGCAGGAACAACGTCGACCTCAGGATTTACTTTTGGACAAACACCTAAAACTACCCAAAGCTCCAGTTCTGGTTTGTTTTTCGGTTCTACGTCTTCAAATGCGCCATCATCTCTTGCCTCACCCGGAATTCAATCAAATGCTTTCGGTCAGAGTTCTACATCCTCTTTTGGCGCTTCACCATCAACATCTCAAGCTAAACAACCGGCATCGGCAAGCTCAAACAATTTGTCTATTGCATCTACCACATCTACCCCTACAACCGCTAGCAGCGCTTTTGTATTTGACAAGTCAACAGCATCAGATAACAGTTTAAAGATGTCACCATCAACATCTCAAGTTAAACAACCGGCATCATCGACAAACCAAGCCGATTTGTTTGATGGTCTATTTACCAAAATCCTCGAAGTTATCCCTCAATAAGTTACCAGTTTCTAGACCAATCAAAACAACACAATCGGGAACAGAGTATGTTTATCAATGAAGAATGATTGGCATCAATAATTAAGTTTATTATGTACAGTAAGAACAGACTTGCTTACCTGACTAACTAGACTGTATTGATGCAAAAATTGGATAACCAGATAGAAACTAGAAATCTCTCTACTGTTTATGCATGGACGGCCAACAAGCGATCACTCTAATGTGAGGAATGACGAAAGAAAACAGATGTGATATTCGCAAAAGAAAAGGAGAGTTGACGAGAAGAGAGTTATTGTATTATATTGTAATAATCAATGCCTTTACTAGAGATGATTCGTCATGATGTTAACATGGGTTGACGCAAGTTTCAATGGACCTTTATTTTCGATTGTTTTTTCGTTATGAATTTAGATCTTTTCAATGAGAATTTATTAAAACTCACATTTTCTATTATTTGATGCATAGAATTTTTTTGAAGCATTGTCGGTTGTTTATTTTGAGGATGAATTTTCTGACTGAATGAAATTGGCTCAAATTAATCTCTATTTCGATCAAAAGTTAGGTAAGCTTCTCAGCTGGACAGCACAAGGTCATTCTGGATAAAATGGTTGTGCCAAAATCTGATCCTATCTTTTCTCTTTCTTCGCGATTCTTATCTTATTCATCTTCATCTTCAACTCGATCCAATATCACTCCACATTGCATTATGTAAGGTAAGTTTTCGTGAGCTTCCATAGTTTAAAGGTAAAACTTCGAGGATGGTTTGAAGATGAACAAGTGATGATGACGGTACTGATGGCATGATCGTGGAGTTGAAAGTGAATAAACAATCTTCAGTTTTCCCTCATTTGACGCTTCATCGAGATGAATGTTTTTTCAACTTTTACGAGCATTGAATGGGAAAAAAAGGATTTCATGAGTAACTCTGAAGGAAAATTGTGTTCTAATTTTACTGATGACTTAAGAAGTTAATGCGTCAGTTGAAATATTTATAATATTTAATAGCGATCATTTCTCTGAAAATATTAATCAAAGAAAGAAATCAATTTCTTAGACAATAAAATATTGATTATTGATGGCTAAACAAATTGATGTTAACAAATGAAATTTATCAAATGAAATAAAACAGTTAAACTTTTATATTGATTCAGGTTAGAGTTGCTTTAAGGCGCCAACTTATGGTTATATTGACTTTTGTGCTGCCCTCCATTGGCTATGAATCAAGTCAATTTAACCAGTTTTTTAACTTCGATTCACAAGTCGTTAACTTTTGTTTAAAGAGTCATAGACTTATCAGTCAGCTGCTCTTGTTTTGGATCATCGTCCTGTTGGAAGCAGGAAGAGCTATGGATTCAGATTTTCTTGTAAAAATTTTAATTTACGCTTGTCTGTTGATTGTACGATAGATAATGTTAATTTCAGCAATTTTGCACAATTACAGAGTCACACTGAATCATTTGACTGTTTGACGTGTTTGACTCGAGGAACGAACATTTGGTTATAGTCATTGTTTTGTTGAGATGTTAATGTCTCAAAGCTCCATCGAAGTGCTTAGAGTCTTTTTTCATTTCAACAATATCAACATCAATTAAAGGGGTCGAAAAAGCTTGAAAAATTTTTTAATAGCTTTCAGTAAAAGTTACTCGTCTGTAATATTACTTTTGAAACAGCCTTTATTCAATTGTTGCATCAGTTGGTCTCGCATAAAACAAGTTACTAAATATACGAGATAAATATGTAGGAAACAAAAACACCTTAGGACGTGTTATTTAATCGATTATCAATTTTGATTGTATTTTAAATCAATAGTTCCATCGGAATTGAAACGCCAGATGGAATCGCTCGGTGATTAATTGGACTTGCCTACATGTCAATTGAAACCTGCAAATTACTTGTTAGTAACTTTGACTGCTTTAATGAATATAATTACAAACGAATCCATTGGGTTTGACTGTGGTTTTAATTTACTTTGAGATCCCACATAATGAGATAAATTTATCAACGACTCCTAAGTTAATTCAATTTGAATTTCATCAAATTTCATTTTGATTTCTTTGATTATTAATTGACTTAATTAATAGTTTTCTTTCGTAAAATATCAATTAAAAAACATCCAAAATCATCTTAAATTAACATTTATGATTAGATTCGATCTATTAAGGAAGATTGAAAATCATGTAATTAGCTGCCCGATGAATAGTGTAAATAAGCTATTCCACAGTAGTCTCATTGTCTGGGATCTCACTGTACTTTGCCCATCCAATTCCCACTTCATGTGATAAGATATAAATTTAATACCTAATTGTAATCTTATCAAGGCGATCAGAATCAGATGCGTAAAGTAAAAATTGTCATCGAATTCCTTTCATTTGTTTGTAATTGTTATTTCACTCGTTGGTAATTTTTGTATTTTTATTTCATCAAGCGAATAATGATATTCGTGATCAACTAATCAGTTAACTCTATTCAGTTTAACAGTTTATTTTGTTTAGTATTAATGCCAATCGACTGTGTATCTCCTTTAATTAATTCATCTGGATAATAATTTACATGTTGTAATGAGCATTGAGTTCAATAGTGATAAAAACAGTAAGGTATCCTTTACTGAGCCTGATGTTAAGGAGGAGGAAAATCGGGATAACTTAGACAACGAAATTCTTGGAGTTTCCGCTAAAAAATATGAACAGTTGCAAGTTGAATTGGAAGAGTGCAGAAATCGAATTGAAGAATTGAAATTGCATCGTGATGAAGAAAAGGCTGGTAAGGAACAAACGTCCAAAACTTTAGCAACATATGAGAAGAAAACTAGAGATGAGAGGCAACAATATGTTCAACAAATCAATTCACTCGAAAGTATCGTCATGATGTTGAAGTTGAAAGCAAAAAATTCAGCTAATCATGGTAAGTCCTCGCTTTTCCGAAACTAGAAAAAGCACAAACAGTTAAAGCTCTTTGGTTAAATGTCCACTCTTGTCACCGATCTATACATCTATCTGTATTATTTGTGATTATTTGATTAAAATTAAGTGAGCTCTTGAAGCAACCTTCTCATTACTTCTATCTTAGCTTCTAGGTTGGAGGAAAGATTACAAGAGTTAAAGACTGAAAATGATCAACTTCAAAGCCACTGTGATTTCATGATGAACATAATAATAGAAGGTGGTTATGAAATGGACACTAGACAAACAGATAAAGTCACATCGAGCAATAACAGCCCAACGGTATCCAGAAATATAGGTTTGACCGTCACCACAGCGCAAGCTAAACAATCGGCATCATCGACAAGCTCAAACAGTTTGTCTATCGCATCTACTACAACAGCTTCTACTACTGCTAGCAGCATCTTTGTATTTGGAAAACCCACAGCATCAGATGACAGTTTAAAAGTTTGTTCGCGTGGGACTGAAAGAAAAAATCTGAATTCCAACTCATTCAGTTCATTTGAAGTGCTTCTTCTCTTGTCTGAAATCAAGTATGCTAACAATTTAATTGCTCAGCGAAATTACGTCAAAGCTAAAAGAAGACTTCCACGCAACTAGGCTCATCAAATGTCTCTATGATATCTATTTGTTTATCTTTCCCCCTTCTACTCTTTCCTTTTCCTCTTTTCCCCTTTTTCGTTGAATTTCCATTGACAAATTAATAAACAAATTAACTCTCATTCGGTTCTTAATTTATTTTATAATTGCATCAGTTTTTTGCTCAGAAAAAAAAGGATGCCTGATACGGAACTGCGACACTATCGCCACTATCGTGGACTATCGACACGCGATGATAGTCCATCCAGACACGTCTCCTCTGTAACTAGAAACGATAATAACCTTATTAGCAAAAAATCAGGGTTAATAAGGTAAAAACTGATTCCATGATTGACACTGGTTCGATCTCACGTCACACGATCTCACGTCCTTACCTCTAATATTAAACCAAATATCTTTCACTATGTTATTCAATAGCAATCATTACGTTCTCCATTAACCTTTAAAGATCCTTCATCACGAACCTATGAAACTTAGATTACCTTACAATCGACTAAATACTACTCTACCCGATATATTGAGCGGAATGGCTCACAGATTTGTTCAAGCTCTTTCCGTATAAAAGTAGATGTGAAATTGAATTGAATTTTCAAGTTTACTTTTATTCGAATAAACATAAAGTTTAAGCCTTTATCATTGTTTTTACCAACAGACTCCAAAGGTTAAACTTTTGCATTTTGCCTTTTTGCAAAGTTCTAACATTAAAATTTATGGAATAAAGCTATCTATTAAGATGGCAGCACATATAGTCTTGAGGCGCAACTAATAAATTTCCGTTTTTCCACTTCCGGGATAGATTTTTTATTTAAAAACAAGCTTTTACAAGCCATATCAGTTTCTATTTACAGTCTTTTGAATATCCATCGTTTTCTACGTGTTTGAAAAGCCCTCTGGTGACCTGTACAGATTAATAATCGATGTTAATCTGCAAACTCCTAGGTTTGAGTTTTCAGCATAGACTAGCTGCAACTTTTTTTGACTCGCGCAGATATGACTATTTTTGTGATTTCAACTTTATTGATTTGGTGGCAAACTAACGGTGCTTTAAAAATGTAAATTATGACTATTGCAACCGTAATTTTCACTCGATAACTCACTTCATGCAAAAAATTTCCAAACTGGATGCAAATCAAAAAAAGTTATTAGCGATAAGAAAACGCGTATTTATCTGTAACACACTGTATAACATGCCAACTGAAAAGCAAACTCTTGAAACGTTGATCAATTTTTTCGAATCATTTGTCCATAAAATGATGAAATGGAGAGCGTATATTTGCGTTTGAACAATTGAATTTATTTCATTAAATTTTTCAATTGGATGCATTATGATTAGCATCGATTAAAAATCGAGCTGCAATTGGATGTCGCAGAATATGAAAGAGAGGGGTGCTCACTTCCAATACCAGAATCTATCGTATTTGTCCTGAAGTAGGTGGAATTTATCCTACGGTTGGATCCAATAATCCCTCCGGATCAGCTGAATTGGCTGGAGGAGCAGGGGTGCCTTGAGGAGCTGCAGCGTCTGGACCAGCTGGAATAGCTGAAGTAGCTGGAAGAGCTGGAAAATCTGAAGGTGGAATTTGTCCCACGGTTGGATCCAATAATCCCTCCGGATCAGCTGAATTGGCTGGAGGAGCAGGCGGACCTTGAGAAAGTGGACCAGCTATCGCTTTTGGTTCAGGTATTGGAGCTGGAGCAGAAATAGCCATTATGGAATCAAACATAGCAATAATTGCAGTCAAAATGATATACGTTAAAATTTTGTTTACTTGCATATTGACTATTCTTGATGATTAAAAGAATTTAATTAGACAGAACAAATGTAAAAATAACTAAATTACTTGAGAAATTTAGATCTTCAATTGATACATTTTCTCTAAAGCACTCGACTTTTATACTTATTTGAATCGCAGATAATTAAACAACTTTATTTTTTCAATAAAATACCTGCTGTTACCCTGTAAATTATCATTCAATTGTTTTATTTAATTAAATTAAATAACTATCAAATATTTATTCTAGTTTATCTGCAATTTATATTTGTATATTGTACACCAATATTTGTTAAGTAATTTTTGAGCTCGAGGAACCTGAATGGCAATTTAATAAGATGTTCACTAAAATTATTTACAAAAAATGTATGTAAAAAAATTATTTTATCGCCGCATTACTAAATTATGGAGAATCCATATTAGGTTGCAAATTTTTTAATTTCTAATATTTAATGTTTAACAGTTTGACTTAGAATATAAAGTTGTTTGGCCTTTATGGCCGTTATGGCCTTTTCTGGTCCAGCTCAGATGCCTGAACGAAAACCAAAAAATATCAACTCCCCAACCTCATTAAAAAATCAGATGAAACAGATTTTGTCAAATTTTTCTGTTTTGAGTCAAAATCATCAAACTAACTGAATACCTAACTTGATAAACATCATCTGTGAACCTTCAAATAGTAAAACATCAATATTTGTATAGTAATTTTTAAACTCGAGGAAACCAAATCGAATGAAATAATCATCAATTTAATTCAAAGTCCAATAGCAGTTGATATTCATTAACCTACATCTTTAACACGTGAGTCTGATCTTTTCCTCTCTATTTCTGTCCAACGTTAAAATTGTAAACGAAATAAATTACGATGATTCAAAAAAATATTAAGCAAATGCTAAGGTGTGATTGCATTTTAATTAAATTGATGATAATTTGATAAAATCGCAATTTGGTTTCCTCGAGTTTAAAGATTACATTAACACTATCGTTTTACGGACAAAGGCGTAACGGGTAAGACTTTTAAATTGTTATGCAATGGGAGATATTGATTTAAACACATATAAATAATTTTTACAATCTAAAGTAGAAATATAATTAATCACAAATTAATATAAAAATAACAAACAAATTAACAAACAAAAAACGTAGAAAGACAAAGCACATGTAAATAAGAATGATATCGTCTGATTGTTAGTTTCCTTGCGTGTTTTCTTTTGATTTTACTCTCACAGCAATGTCTTTTTCTGGTGATTTTTTCTCGAGTTTGACCCCATTTAATTTTGTTAGTAAATTAACTCAACTGTGCCTACCAAGGAAATACCTGTTAGCACAGATACATCGATTAAATTAGGTGCTAATTAATTGCTTCATCAGATGTTAAAACAGATTCAAGTGTACTAAGTAGAGCTCTAGAAAAAGAGAAGACCGAAATTAAAGATGTTTCAGACAAAACTGACAAGCCTGTGGATGAAAATTTGGCTAAAGCTAATGAACCATTGTTTGATAAATTTAAACCTACACTAGGATCATGGGTGTGTACAAAGTGTATCACAGGCGAAAAATCTAAAAAAAATCATGAGCTGAGATTGGCTTCAAAGGCTTCGCAAGCACAACTAAATGAAAAGAGCATAGCTCCACCTCTAATAATGGTAAACCCATTGGCTTCGGACTCTGAAACTTCTAAGACTATAACTCTTACTAGCAGTTTCTCTTCAACATCAACATCATCTACCCCTACAACCGCTAGCAGCTCTTTTGCTTTCGGAAAGTCAACAGCTTCAAATAAAAATTTAATAATGTCTACTGGTTCTTTAGGCGAGTCTTCACAAACAAAAATATCGTAATCAGGCTTTTCATTTGCCTTAGAAAACCATTTTGCACTTCACCATCAACATCTCAAGCTAAACAACCGGCATCATCGACAAGCTCAAACAGTTTGTCCATCGTAGAGTTGGGCGACATTATCGAAATCGATGATATATATCGATATTTTTACAAAAAATATCATCGATAAACTGAAAAAAATATCGATATGATTTAAGACATTTGAAAGATGCTAATTAGCTAAATTTTTGTGTAAATTTCGGAAAATTTTTGAAAGCCCATGGCATTGCATAGATATATCTCTGCATTCGCAAAATTCGCTCAAGAAAAGGCTCTTTTCAACGCAAAAGATATAATCTAAGACATTGAAAAGCTCATCTAATGACAACTTTAAAGTCTTTTTAGAGTTCATTATGAGATTATTCATTCAGTAATTGTTTTTTGTTTCGTTTTTATAAAATATCGATAATATCGATAATATCAATATCGCAAAATTTCATATCGATATTTCCGATGATATTATTTTTCGGTAAGGGTAAACGAGAACCCGTCAGCTCACTTTTTCATCTTCAAAGTCGCAGCTGACTGGAGTAAAAGTAACAGCGCTAAGAGCTGACTAACTTTTCTTTAATCAAATCAAATCTGATTTAACCTAAAATGATCTATCTTAGACTGGTATCAAATAATCTAAATAAATCCAGACTAGATTTAGCTAATAAGATTTGATGTTTGATGAAGATTTGGAAAACCCACAGCATCAGATAACAGTTTAAAAGTTTGGTCGCATGGGACTAAAAGAAAAATTTTTTACATTTGAAACATTTGATCAGTAAACTCTGTTGTTGATTTTGTTTATCACCAATGTCAAACGACTGTGTATCTCCTCAATTAACTCATCTTGATTAAATCTACATGTTATAATAGCCATGAATTTCAATAGTGTTAAAAATAGTGAAGTATCCTTCACTGGACCTGATGTTAAGGAAGCGGATAACTTATCCAAAAGAATTAAAAATTTTACTGGTGATCTCTTTGAAAGATATAAACACTCGCGAGTTGAATTGGAACTGTGTAGAGATCGAATTGAAGAATTAGCACGATTAACACAATTACACACAAAACTTATTTTACTGATGTTTCAACACTTTTAATGAAAAACCAGAAAAGTGTCTTACTTTGAGAAATGACTTTTTTTGTTTCTGTAAAACAAATCTATTTCAACGAGTTTTTGAGCAATTCAATTTGACCTTAAAATTCTGATAATGGTATCATCTACAATCACAGTTCTTGAGCAAACATCAGACTACATTACGGGCTACAGTATATTGGAATACTAGAACACTCAAAATACTATAAAAAAATGTTATAGCATTGTAATGCTCATGTAGTCAGATTTGACTTGGTAAAGTTAGTAAACACAAATCTTATATGTTAGAAGGATCTGCATTAGTAGTCTTCAGAATGCAAATTTGATCACAATTAGGTATATTAATACGATACATATTCACATCTATTTACCCCAATTGGCTGAATAAGGCTGACAGCCTATTATCTTATCGAAGTAAACTCTGGTACTTTGGTATTGACACCAGTATAGATTACCAGTTTCATTATATGTTTAATAAAAACTGGTGCATTAAAACTGAAAACGAGAAGCAAAGTGGATTAATATGAATCTTTTAATTTGCATTAAATTGATATTCGGTTATAATCAGAGTAAACTGTAATCGTATAGACACAGAACTTGATATTCTCTAAATTTATGTTCGTATTGACCAATTGATGATAGAGCTTCTTTAGTGGTCCAATCCACTCTACCAATCCGTTCATCATCCTTGCGCCCAACTTTTGCTATTTTAATATCATATTTTGATGCAGAGATTCCTCCTATTAGAGCCCCATTTGAAACATTATCATCATAACTATTGACATCTTGCCAAACAAATATTGAATGATCCTCAGCTATGAGTATTTCAAATTCCGTATGTTCATGAATGAAATATCCATAAGTAACTTGACATGACGCTTGGCTAGAGCTGTAAGCTCCAGGTAAAATTACGTCGCCGAGATTGACACGACAAACATAAATTGGTTCAGAGTCAGAATTGGTACCAGCATTGAAAGCATTTACAAGAGATGTCTCTTCATCAACAAACTGTATCCATTGAGGTTCAGGCGATTCAATTTTAAACGCTATAAAAGAACGATAGAGATAACACGATTTGCATTCATGAAATGAACATAAGACTTACCATATTTTTGGATGTTGCTTTCTTGAAGGTTTGGAGATCCATTGCGTATTGTAATTGCTACCACAACTCCAATTGTTATTACAGTAGCAATTAATGAACAAATAATAGTTAACTGCTTAGTTGACAATGAGTTGAGCTTGATACATGAAGCCATTTCAATGATCGACCAATTAGAAATATAATTTAAATGAATTGTTGTTTAATTGTTTGTGCTTTACCTGAAAAACTCCCTCAAATACAATCAGTAAATAACAATATCTCATCTCAAACCCGATTTAATTTGAATTATCTTGCATGTAGTCAAAACATATTGTTTCTAGTGAATAAGATTATTGGTGTTGAATTGTCCTTCGCTGGATGAATAATGCGAACAAATCTAAATCAGATAAAACTTCAGAATCTGATTGAAACAATTATTCAATAGACGCAACACTGAAGACGCAAGTGCATCAAGAATGATCTACACAAAATTTCTTGAACAATTTCGCTTATCAAGTCTAGCGATTAAGCAAATCGAACCAAATGTTCTCAGAAATCGTTATAATCATCATGAATTGAGATTAAAATACAATTCCATCATTTAAAGCCGAAAATCATTTAATGTTGTAAGGTTTTCTGTTGATGAACAGTGTGGTGTAATGGTAAATAAGGAATTCACTTGAATACTGAATTCAGATTTGAATAATTTTAACTTTAATAGAGTTAACAATTGATTGGGTAAAGAATTACTGAAATTTCACTTTATTAATCATTTAATTCATTTTACTTCAATCCTTCCTTCATTGTTCATGAATCCTTTTCTTATTCTTCATTCAGTCCTTTTTCCATTCGGATATCTAAGCTTCTTTCAAGATGGTCATTGTTAGGTTTTGTTTTACCAGGAATAATAATTAAATGAATAGTAATACTAATCAATTATTATCTTGAATGATAGAAAGTGAATTTAAGTTAACAATGAAAAAGGGGTAAAAATAGTGAATGACATTACATGTAGTTAAAATTTATTAAACGTAAAATGAGTTTTCACAGTAATCAATTTACATGTATGACCAAATCATGAAATAGAGCGCAATCGTGATTTCGGGAATGGTTCAGTTGAGTCTTCATTTTCCTCTTCTGAATCCTCTTCATTCAAGTTCATTCCTTTTTCTGGTTATGCAGTAATTTTTTTGGTTTTTGGGCTTGAAATTTGTTCATTTTATTGAAATCATCTGTGAAATCTAACTAATGTAATAAATAACTAACTGTGATACGAATGTTGAAAATAGTAAACATGGAAACACACAATTTACTTCTCAAAAAGTAAACTTCAGAATAAAATTAGATCACAATAAGATAAGGTGTGATTCACAATTCACCTCGATGTGATAAATAAGGACGAGACTCTTGAGGAACCAGATTTGCAGTACAGAATCCTTGAAAATATTGTCTTAGATTGAAATTGATCAGCAGTTTCAACCATTCATCTCCATCTTGAGAATATCTTTCAACGGAAATTCAGTTTTGATTTTCTTTTGAAATTCGGAGTTTTTAAGTATTCCTATTATCTTGTCCAAGTAAACTCTAGTACTTTTATGTTTACACCAAAATGAATTACATTCATTGCCATGGGAATTATCATTGAAATTTAACATTTTGTGTGATTTGGTATTTAATATCGCTATCTTTTATTCGTTAAGCTAAAATTATATAAGTCACATAGGAATCATCCAAATCAACAATTTTTGGTGAGATATTTAATACAAATGGAGGGACACAATTTTTGATTTGCAAACTTTGCAGGAAATTTGATGATAAATAGTTTGATACTGTTATCAAGTCGATCCTGAAGTAAGTTTGCAATCATAAACATTACAATTGTCATGAATACATTTGGCGATTCAGTCAATTAAACGGCCATTTGATGCATATATTCAGATCATGGCTTGTATGATCAGTGATCAGAGGCAACAGGAGCAATAGGACATCATGAAACTCTTCATCCACTTTGATTAAGATAGTTAAGGACATAATGAAGAATCAAATCATAACAATATTTATACTCCGTCTAAGATGAAAAAGAAAACAAAAATAAAGCATTAATAGAAGTTCGACATTTGAAAGAAGCGCAATGTGCGATGATTGATGTTTACCTCATTCTCTATCAACTTTGGACGATTGCGACGAACCGTTTTAACAGCTTGAAAAACGTCAACTTCACCATGTTGAACAACCTGTTCAATAGCCACATTGGCAGCACAATAAACACCAACACGACTACGGCCATTCCTAGTTAAATAATTAATTAACATCAATTTTAGTTCAATTTCAATGTATTCAAATATCGACATTAACTTACGCGGCGATGACACAAACAGGTCCATAAGTGGTCCTCTGTCTCCACCTTTCAACCATATTCATCATCTCAACCAAGGCATTAGTAGATGAAGGAACTTTATGACCCTGTGGCCAACAGGTTATCTGGAAAAATTGGGTTGTTTTGGGTACTCCTTTTACTCCAGACATTAGTTCAGTCAAAGAGACAACTTTCTTGTTTATTCGGAAGATCCATGATTTAATATTTGTGTAATGATTGAATGAAACCAAATCAACGGTGAAAACTGGACCGAATTTCCGTCTCTTTTCCTTTTCATTAGGCCAAAAAGTTGGATATGCCTGTAAAGAAGAGCAAAAAACACATTAGTTAATGAATATGGAAACTGGACCAATTATACTCACATGGATATCTTCTGGATGTGATAATACAATTACTGAATTACAATCGTGATCGTATATAAGGGACCAACAATCAGGTATAGTGTGAGCTAAAGGCCATTCTGTGACAATATATTCTCGAGATCGAGTGTAACCCTGAAAAAAGAAATGAATTAGTAAATGTCATTTTGCAAGTGAATGTCACAACAGAAATCGATATGAAAAAAGTAATCGCCAGACAACTTAGATGTATTTTATTAAGGTGATGGTTGATAGTAAGCAAATTGTTTGCTTTTGACTCTTTGACTATTTCAATCATCGAATCAAGATGCTTGATCAATCTTTGGTTTCATTGCAATCGGAATGTAATTAAATTGTACTCAAATTTGAGGTAAATTGTAACCAAAACAGAGAGTAAAAACAACAATCTAAACCAAGAAATTATTGAATAAAACTTATAAACGTAGAGTTGTGTGTTCCATTTGAGCAACTTCATCAAGGTCTTAATCTATCTTTTATCAATAACATTTCATCAATTCATCTATTACTCTATTAAACAGCCAAAAGAATTATTTCTATGAAAAAAATGAAAATGTAATCACACGCAAAGAGCAATATAAACATAAACACATAATATTATTAATAGATATCGTGAGTAGTTCTCTATACTGGATGAAACAATCAAGAGGAGGAGAGACAAAATTGGCTAAATCTTCGTATACATGGTAAAGCAAATGACAGCCAAATGCTATTGATGGCAATTGAATGATAATTGCTACGAATGATTGTTTCTTTACGAGATGTAAAAAGATGAAACAATATGACATTTAGATTGCACTTTACAAGCAAATGTTGTGTTCAAAATTTGGATCCATATAATAAGTCCTCAGGTTAAACTGCATTAGGTTCATGATTAGTCTTGACAACAGTTTTAACAAACAGAACCCATTAAAATTGTTGGGATGAAGAGTAAAACTATGATAGATAATTGTTGATTCCAATAAATTCAGCAAGTGACATTGGGGAAAAGGTTGAAGAGAGTCATGATCTAAATAGCTAAAAGTGCTAAATATCATTTTTAGAGACTCAATTCATTAATCTAGTTTTCAGAATGTAATAAGTTTCTTCTGACGATCCAATCTTAAAACAACGATCTTGTTATAAATATCAATATCTAACAAGAGATGTCACTTTGATCATCTAATTTTAGCTCTATGGTCTGCCTTGATAAGCTTTAATCAACTATACAACTAAGAGCGTAAAGTAACATCATGAAACTCAGCAGGCTGGACACGAAAGTTTCATCCCAAATTGACTCTATTCAATTTCAGTTTCATGAGTTGCACCTTAAGTCCTAATGAGTTTGGCTGCTACTGGTTTGAACACTGACTTACATCGACAAATACTGCATTAATGTAATCGGTACTGTCATTGCTTTGGAATGTTGTCAGATAAGGCCGATGATTGTCCGCTGGAAATAAAGACAAGAGTAAGGTTAACGATTTTATTATCCATCAATAGCAAGCAATACTTACGAGGAATAATGGCAACATCTCGATTTTTAGCTCGATTCTCAATTCGATAGCCTCCAGCACAATCTCCAATTGTGAATTCTGGCGACATTTTAACAATTTTCTGTTGAATAACAAATGAAAAGTCAAACCCAAAATTGAGTTTCATTAAAAAATTTGAAACAAAAGTAATTGAACAGCGAGACAAGAGCAAAATTAATTAAACTTGAGAAATTGAAAGAAACTGATTAAAAATAAATTAAATTTCAAAATGTTAACCTCTATTATATTACATTGTTTCATTGAGTTTGCTTTTGTCATTGTGCAGTTGATTGAAAGCGTTTTCATTGCATCCAAATGTTTCATTTCAATCAATAAATGAATAAGTAAATGCAGAAAAGTATATTTTTCAGTTTACATGGAAAATGATCTTGTCATTTCATGATGAAATAACATCAATGAAATTTGTGTTTAAACACGACAGTCAAAAGGTAAGAAAAGTGTAACACTAATGCAATTAAAACTAATTAACATAATGAATGATAAACTGATGATAATAAAGAGTTGAACAATAATTGTCAACAATAATAAGCAAGAGATAGAGTAATGAAGAAGACTTAAATTCTGATAATGATTGTAATTAGTTTCATAATTACCTGATATTCTCGTTGATATTCATTTAACCCAGTTAAAGTGTCCTTCATGGATTTATATTTCATTTGTTGAGCCAATTCAGAGACAGGGAACCAAGTTTTACCGCTTAAATAGGCTTCTTCTAAGAAACTGTAAACAAACTTGTATTGATCCTGATTGAGACAAAATAATTGAACAAAATTACTAACGGTTGATGACATTTCTTGAAATATGTTTGAGCGAAATTAAATAATCAAAATTGCAATTCTTGTCTAACTGCCATTTCCTCCATAAATTTTGTGTAGTTGATTAAAGCACATTTCCGCCATTCACAAATCATCAAAAAGCAATTTTTTCGCAATAATGAGAGCATTTCTCATTTCGAGAAACTAAAAGGTTGGAAATGAAATACTCAATACAACTTCAACTCACATTAACATCAAAATCACCTCACAATAACTTTCACTTTTTATCATAAAGAACACAAATATTTTTTTTGATATTTCAATAATTTTTGTCACTCCTAAAAATTTAATCGGGATTCGTTGTTTCTCGTTTTTCTCCTCTGGTTGAGCTAGTCGTAGTTCAATAGATAGACAGTTTAATGTAGAGCGGTTACAATTGATAATGAATAAGCAAAACATTTCAATTGATTTCCATTGTTAAATTGAAATATGACATCTCGAGAGTTGACTTACAAAAACTTAATCTATTGTTAATATATTTTGAAAAGCATCTTCGTCTTTCCTCGCTCTCTCTTAGTCAGTGCCATTCAACCGGCTTCAGTAAATGTGTCTTCAACATCAGTTGAGTTTAGTTAAGACCAAAGTGTAGGAACGAATTTTTTTAAAGAATCCGAGCTCTCTATCAGATATTGCTATCTGGTTGATAGTAATCATTCCCTGATCTAAAGAGATTTATCTGACACCAAGAATCTAAACTTGAGATACATCCAGAAAGCAGTAGAAAGCCTTATTTTATGGAAGCCATTGAGCTGATTTATTATTTAATAGTTGAAATTTCTAGGAATAGTTCATTTGTTGTCAAATTGAATGTACCATGAACATATTGTAAAAACTTAAAAAGCCTTCATTTTCATTACAAAGTAAACTATAAACTGTTCTGATGAAAGCAATTATATTTGACGAGAAATTGATTGGATTTAATTCAACAATGGTTAGATAATTAGACTATTATGGACAAAGATTCGTTTTACAAAACTCGAGATTTGATAGCAACAATGATGGTAATGATGACAGCAACAAACTGTTTCATCTTCAATAAAATAACTTGACCTCAAAAAATTGTATTCATTTTTCTTCTCTATTTTTCTCTTCTCTATTGATAACTCATCATGATCATCTATGAAAACCATCTTAATGGATGCTGAGAATGATAATCTGTATGGTTTCTCAGTAACCTGCTGAGTATGTTTGATGAGATTTTATTTGCCTCAATTCACATCAACAGCATCAAAAAATCAGTAAATCTTTTTTTTCTTCCTTTCACGTTTTACCCTTTATCATCATTATACTTACTAGATTCAGAAATCCTTTTATGAACAAAGTATTCACTTATCAAGTTAAAATGTTGCAGTTTTCCTGTAAATTAACTTGATTGATATAAATCGAAGAGAAACAATCATTAGAAATATTATTGCAGATTAATTTAATTGTAGACCAATGTTCAACTATTTCAAGAGGGAATAGCATATTTGAAAATAATCTACTGAAAAGAGAATCATTTGCAATGAATTTCTGGCAATTTTGAAAATTTAAATGCTCGAAACTCGATTTTGACCAAATTCAGATAAAGAGCTTCAACTCACCATTGTCTCAATCATCCCTTTACGAGCTTGTCTCATCTTTTTAGTATAACCAAAAATATCGAACGAATTATCTTCATCGCAAAATTCGAGGTTTGCATCAATACAAAGGTAAGCACCAGTTCGGCCACATCCATCACTGAAATAGAGAAAAATTTGATTCGAAAAAAACTTGAAGCAAACAAAATGAATCTCCCAAATATTGAACGACAAATGTTTTACTTTGGCTGATTAAAAATAAACATTGATCAATTGAAGGATAAAGAAATAACAAACAGAAAAGGTTTCAAATAATCTGAATGTGTAAAAATTTTCATTTCATTGGGAAACAATTTAAGGTAAATTGAGAATTTAGAGAGAAAAAAATCAACAAATTGAATTCAATTGAATTCTTGCTCAGGTTTCTTCGTGTTTCAGTTGCTTATTGCTTTTCTTTTCCTTGCTTTTCATTACTCTTTTTTGTCTATTATTAAATGTAACGAAACACCTTATAAAGTTTGTCACATTGAACCTGAATGCTTGTCAAAATTCAAGACATTTCAACAGAATTGAAGGGAAAATCAAAATGATTTCCAATCAGTTTTTCAATTTTGTCCAAATGAAACTGACTGACGACAGAAAGTGTAAAATTTTGACCAAGAAAATGAAAGAAATTCAATGTTATTTAGGAATGAAGGGAAAAACGGTCAAAATATGAATCGAGGTAAATCAACACTTTGGATCGATTGAAATGGCCAATTGTCAATCTAAATTATTGGTTGGTAAGGTTTAATTCAAGAATTACTAGTAAAAAAGTAAATTCAATGTTGGTGGAAACTTGCAAAGTATTAATATTTGAAAGAAGAAAAAAAGAGCTGTTCTAAGCTGAATGAAGAAAAGGAGAAGAAAAAGCATTTTCTCATTTTAATCATTACACTTTTCAACATGAAGACTGAAAGGAAGACACTAAAGATTGCAACCTCATTTTCATCATCACCATTCTTGCCTTACTCTTTCATCTTTTCTCGTCTAACATCAAAGATTCCAGGGCTAAAAGCCAAACAAGCAAATCTCCTCTCAAGTCAGATTTACTCTACCATATAACGTTACAAATAATCTTGAAGCAGAAAAAAAACCTCGACTTTCGTCATATTCAAGTTCAAAAGTTTAACTAATAATTTCATTGTTAACATCGTATTATATGAGTTTAAGCTTTCACTTTTCATGTTTTGCTCAGTGGTTTCAGTAGAGACTCATTGCAACCCACTCTTTACTGATGTAGCAACACAAACCATTCATTTTAAACTGAAAATTGCACAGAATCTATTCCATTCAGTATCTCGTAAAGAGTCTTCACTATTATTAGTCTTGATGTCAGCTTTTTGCTCTGGGATCATCATGCAGTGAGTAAAGAGTGAATAGACATTTTACCTGCAATGAACAATTGTAGGGCCGACAATATTTTCTTTGGAAACTTCATTCATGTAAATTCTTATCCTTCGACGATATTGGAGTAGAGAGTTGACAAAGGGGCAACTATGAGTGGGCCAATTGTAATATTGAAATTGATATACAACTCTTTCCTCTTTATCCTCTCCATCCAAGTAATCCTCATCCTTTTCAGGTCCAATCAGCTCTTCAATGTCCTCTTCCTCAATCTCAGACAATTGTTCGAGCTTGATGTTGCTTCGGTTAACATTGATATTGGTTGTGCTCTTGATTAAATTACTGTAGGACGGAGTTGGTGTTGGCCGTTTACTAGACACATGATCACTTGAACCAGGTCGACGAAGTCTCAAAGTTCTTATAGTAAAATCGGCTAAAGGTTCTTCAGTTAAAAGAGTAACTTCCATAGGGCCATACATTACAGGTTTGTTGGTCTCAATGGGCCAATATTGACAGCACATTACACGTATAAAATCAAATATTTTGGTTAACATAACAATAATGTATGAATTTTGCTCCCAAACCATCCTCCAGAAATCGCCAATTGTGTCCTCATTTGGACCTGAAAATGGAAAAATGAAAAGAAATTTAAATCAAAATTACAATATTCAAATTTAGTTTACATTATTCAACTTTAATCACCTTACCTTGAGTGGCAATATACGCATTAGGCTTGATGATACTCTGTAAATGAAGAGAAACATATTTCAATATTTAGTCTTTCAATGCAAATGGATAAGAATATTTCTTATTCATCTGAAAATGAGCAATGTTTGAATTAAGTGGAACAATGTTGGTGTAAAAAAAAGAGTTTCAAGTAAATCATTCATTTTCCATTTACATTGGCACACACTTTACTTTTCCAGGATTCTCTTACTTTTATTGATTCTTGCATTAGTAAATTTGAAACTTTTTCCTGTTTTTTTCATCTGAATAACTTAATGAACAACATTTCAAAAGGCAAACAGAAAAAAACTTGAAAATTAATAGTAATCAATGGATTGCTCATTGATTTTCCATTCTATTTACAATACTCAAATTGTTGAAGTTCAACGGAAATATGAAATCAATATCGCTCAGCTGAAATACTATCTTAAAAACCAATTACATTCTTGACAAGAAAAAAATGTTCATTTCGACTATTGAATTTCATCAGAGTCTGATTTCTGAAAATGAATCAAACAATTTAGTTGTCACACATTTTGATAAACCTCAAGTGACAACTTATTTACCTTGCAAGATGAATAATTACACTTTTTGTAGCAACAAAAGTGCGATGTTCAAGTGGAAAGAGTTGAACAAATGATATCATTTAGCCTTCTTTAGTGGTAATAACCAAAAAGATTGACACTGTAATAAGCAAAACTCAAGTGATGAAAATGAGGAGAATTGTGAAAACAAGAATTTCTATCAACAACCATTATCTTTTTGAATAATTTGACACAATCCTTAATGGATCCTCCTGACATTGACCCTCGAGTTGATAAATTGTATTAAAAATATTTTTACTTAGCAAGTGAAAAGTGACTACGTCAATGTTGAATTGGCTATTCTTTAGTTGAAAACACACATCATTTTCATAGTGAAAGATGATGAAGATAAGATGCAGTTGAAGATGCAGATGATGTAAAGGGTAGAAAGGGAAAGTGGCTCTTTCCAAGTAACCTGGCAACAATTACATCTTGATGGTTGAATATTGCTTTGCCAAACTTTTGTCATCAGTGCGAGTGGAGGAAGGAGAAAGGTGAAGATGACTTTTGGCAGAGAACAACATTGTTCAGGACAAAATGCAAACAAAATATTCTGCTTTTAGTAGCTTATACACATTAATATGTGTTTACAGTTTAATCTCAAAGATGACAACACTTGGATTATGCTCATAGTCGACCTTTTTTTGCTCAATACTTCATGTTATCAACTTTTCAATGTTGACTTTTTGCAAAAGTGATCCAAGTTTCTTCGACTTTTTTTTCCGCATTTTTGCTTTTAAAAGATACTTTACATTTATTGAAGACACCTATCAATCGTCAGTCTCCCTGTTGAATAACTCAATGTTTACTTTTACATTTATACTCGTTCCATTGATGTAGAGATTTTCACTTTTTGTTTGACTTTGCAAATGTTTTACCACTTAATTTGACAAATTCATTGCTAAATAGTAACGAAATTGGTTCAAGTGAAATCTCTCGATAATACTATTGATACAATGCCAGCTATTATTATAAATTTGATACTTTTTCCTAACACATTTGGTGTTTCATTGTATTATGAATTTGCATGAAAAAACGAAATTTTTGAAACTATAATTTGAGTTTCGAGGATTCAGGTTAAAATTGGTAAAAACTGAAAGTTGAGTTGACCAATTTTTTGATTAACTTTCTGAGCTTGGATTTCATTAACGAAAAATGAAGTTATAAATCATCTGAGCAATTCATTGACACTTGATATGGATTTAGAAGGCAAAGAACATCACTCAAAATTTTCCAATGTAAAATGAAACCATTTTTTACCAGAAAATTGATTTGTCTAAATTTATTTTCTCGAGTTATTTGCTAACAGAAATCAATGTTCTGATTTTTTCGCTCGACATCCAACAATCACAATAATTAGGGAAAATGGGTTCATAAAGGTGATTGAATTTGGCTCATTATTCGTACTTACATCAATGTAAGAAGCGTTGATATAATCGGAATGAGGCACATCAGGTAAGAGTTGCAAGACAACTCGATTGTAATCATCTAATTTGATCAGTAAGATGAAAAATTTATAAGTAAATAGAGAAGTAAAAAAAGGTTGATCGATTGAAGTCAAAACATGAAGTGCAAGCAGAAAGAAAACCCAATTTTCGTGTTCTTTGGTCAATAATTGCATTACAATTGAATAAATATATTATATTGTTATTTCACCATTAATATAATTGTGTTGTTATATATATATTTTCAACGAATGTTGAGAGTTTACTGGAAAAAAAGTATTACAATGACAATAATGATAATAATGGGAATAATATGAATATATATTGTATGCATAACACAACCAAGAACCAAATGGTTTTCCTAATGCATATGTATGTTTCATGTATACATTGGCGTGTTTTGTTACAAGGCAATGTCAACCAGAATTATCAGCAACTTACATGGTAAAAGTTTCTTGTTACAATTCTTGATTCCATTTCCAGGTTTCTGTCCATGTCTCATGCTATGAGATTCACCTTTGGTGGCAACCTTGAAATGAGAAGAAAAAACATTACAAATTGAGAACATTAACCTTTTTTCACGTTTTTTCCTGTCTCGCAATTTCGTGAGATTTTGTGTCTAAAAATCTGTGATTCATTCATGGATAGAAAGAAAATATAGAACTCTGAAAGTCTAACAAAATTATTACAAATTATATTGATTATCAATCAATACAAATGAATGCTTCAATTGCCACTTTTTGAAATATTTCAAGTCTTTTCGTAATTTCTTTACATTGAGAAGTTTCCTTTCAACTTAGACTGGTTTCATCAAAGGAACGAATTATTGAGATAATTTTAACAGCTAGAAATGAAATATCACTGATTACTAGAGCTGATGGAAGTGGAGATGAACTCGTGAAAGCTTACCCCAAATTCATATGATAATAAAGCTCGATATTTTTCAAACATACGACGATGTTTTTGAAAAGAAGTAAAGTCCATTGGTCCTCTGGGTAACACTTTTTTCACAGTTTCAACGTCGATAGGCATTAAACCCATATTGATCATGTTTAATCGCAATGAGTTTACTTTGGTTGATTTACGACGATGACTTGGATGGCGATGATGACGAATATATTGCTGCAATTGTTGCTGTTGTTGTTGCTGCTGATGTTGCAGCTGTTGCTGTTGCTGGTGATTTGAATGGGTTGGATGATCGTTTGGTGGATCTAAGCCTGGAGAGACAATTTTGGGTGAAACCTTGGAAGATGAAAACTTTGGTAAAATACATCCATAGCTTTTAGAAGACATTGTAACACCAAAAGAGTAGCCATCAGCATAGCACAAAATAATTGGTTAAGCAGTCCATTAAAAAGCTCTTATTATACTTGACAGATGCAAAAATAATGTCAAGAAATCGGTGTCATGAGGAAACAATTTCAAGAGATGAATACGATTATGTCTACAAAATAATTTAAAGCAATCTAAACTTCAATTGAATGCAAGAAACAGTGACATTGAGTTTCCAATTGAATGTGATCTGGTTAAAATGAAGGAATCGGGTGTTGAGTCAATTGACCGATATGAAAAGTACCACTTTTTATTGACGCTTCACTTTTCTTGATTTTACTTTCAGAAGGTGAATCTTTTATTTTTTTGCCAGTCGTTTGTTAGTAAGAAAACATTTGGCCAACTTCCAATTAGTGATTATTTGAAAATTTTGGTAACAAGAGCTCAGCAGCATTCATGGATCTCATCAATCCATTCCATGAAGTATAAAAGATGAAGATTCCTGAGTTATTTTTGTAACTGTGGAAAGAAAGCAAAAAAAAGAAAGTAAACATTAGAAGAAAGAAGAATTCGAAGAGAAATAAGTTTATTTTCAATATTTACCATTGACTAGTGAAACATCGGATGGCGTCAATTAATGTAAGCCACTATTTAATCTTAAATTAACCTGAATTAACACAACCAAATGGTCATAAGCACATTCTAGATGAGTTGAAAAAATCACAAAATGGTCGGCATAAACTGTTGCATAATGAATGACATTGCCATTGTACTCATCTTTACAGTTATCACAGGCACTTTGGGTATTCCAATTGTTAACTGGATATTAATGGACACATCTAATAAACAGGATGAAGTTTACTCTCGTTAAACGGTAAAAGACGAAAAAATTATTTGAAATATTTATCAAGTAACTGAAAGTAGTAGAAGAGTTGAGATTTTTCACTTGAACACCAACCAGATGACGCCCATTTCCATTAAACTGGCTTGTGACGATTTGGTCAATTAATTGCAATAAAAATAATTTCGATGGTTTACACTTGGAGTGGAAAATATTTCCTATGGAAAAGCAAACTTGAAATAAAATGAAAGTTAAAAATGTTACCTTCTGATCATAGATTCACTTGAATCACTGACAGTCTCGTTTGGATGCTTTAATCCAGATTATTCAATAACTTGTATTGCCCTCTATTGAGCATTTGTCTAAATGTTAGCTAATAATTTCCAGATTAAGTGTTTAGTGAATGTGGGAAAAACTTTAATAACATTGAACAATTGACACAAATGTATTTTACATAATTCTGACTAATGAGGATTAACATTGATCAAGATTGGCTTTGGTGGTATACATGGTCGTCGTCGGTCCTATTGTACTGTAAATGTTTTCCTTCTCTTCCCGAGTATTCTTATTAACATGCTTATTATTACTGGCAGTATTATTGGATGATAAATTGGGAACTACTGGAATCTTTACTGGAATAGGCAAATTAAGTGTACGCTTATTTTCAATTACTCCAGGAATCAATATTGGTCTATTAAGATGCATTTGATAAGGCTGGAAAGTTTCAAGATGTTGCAACCCTTTATCATCCGTTGTTTTCAACGATTTACAACAGGTAGGACAAGATTCACAACTCATAAGGCCAGCAGCATCGGACTCAATCTGAGTTCCTTTCTCTTCTGTAGTTACTTCTTTATCTTCCTTTCCAATTTGATTGTTATTCAATATTTCTTGTTTGCTATTACTAAAAGTCTTTAGATTTGGTGTATTTGATATAAGATGATCTCTATATGTATTTTTAGTAACCTCTTCTGTTTCAATCAAATGTTTGTTTTCCATTGGCGATCTTGCAGTCAATCCTGGTTTAAAAGATGATGGACGGTTCGACATATTTGTTACTGATGATGTTGGTGGTGTTGGTAAAGTTGTGGGTAATCCACTTTTGGTCCATATTTTGATCGATTCTTCTCTGATAGATGCATTTCTGGTAATAAATCAGCTGCTGGTAGTTTTGAGACCGGCTTTGAATTTACTTCTGGTGGACTTGGTTTGGGTTTGAAAACATTTTTTGGTGGTTGAGTAGGTGTTGAAACTATCTCGGTTGATGCATAATGACAATGTTCATCGTAAACTGCTCCATTGGTTCCAGTTTTCCCATCATTGTTATTATTATCAATTTCACTATAAAGTGAATGCTTCAGGTATTGGCTGTTGGTTAATCTTTTCAGATTGATATTGCTGTATATTGGACATATCTCGATATTTCTCATGTGATAACATTTGTCTTTTTCCTTCCAATGAATTTTCAAATGAATATGAAGCCGAGTCCTGGCCAGAAAAGCTTGATCCTCAATGGTTCATTAGCTCGAGTTTTATCAGATCCAGTTAACTCATGGTCAGTTGAGCAAGTATCATTTGTTGAATCTGCATCAGTTGCGTATAACCATCATAAACACCATTGGACATTCCTGAAGAGCTTTTATTACCCTGATCATTGACTACTGATGCAAGCGCGTAATTATTGCCTATCTCTGGTTTACCCTTATTTGGATCCAATGACAGTATATAAAACTCTTGACTGCAATCAACAATGGAAACATGATTAACATCACCTCCTTCACTGGACTCAAATAGTGCTAATCTTTTGGCTAAGGATCTTTCGCAACACTTGGAATGATCATGATTAATACATTAGGTCGACCAATGAGTAGACTAAATGAACTTATTTCACGTCGAGAAAGAATAGATTTAGCCTCATCTAGGTTGGCAACTTCAGATCCATTGATTTCTAAAATTTGGTCACCGATTTTGATTAAACCAGAGCGCTCAGCTAGTCCGCCAGGCTCCAATAGACTTATATAGACCTCACTTCGCCTAATATTACTGGACTCATTGTTATCATTTTGCTCGGCAACCTTTGATTGTTGGCTCTCTTCTTCAACTCTATGCCCATTGCCCTGATTGTGATCGAATGAGGATGAAGATGATAAAGAATTGGCATTCCCCTGCGAATACTGTGCTTTCTGATATTGGTGATTCTGTTCATTTTCATTTAAGGCTAGTGGATGGTCCGAAGTTGAAGACACAGTTTTTATCAGTAAGTCTAATCTTGTTATGATGATGGCGAAGCAGTTGAAAGATTTGCCAGAGAGACGAGAGCAAAATGTTCAGTAACTTGAAAGAATGAAAATCATGGAAAAGATGTCTAGGAAAGTGGCTAATACCAGTATTCTGGTAATCTTATTTTTAGAAGTGAGGAAGTTATTTTATTGTCATGCATGTAAACTAAAGCTTTTTTCAAATCATCTGAAGAAAGTGTTCTAGATGGGAAACCAACCAGTAGCTCCGTGGTCAGAGTAGTGAATGAAAACATGATCATTGTGTCCAGAAGTGAGTACTTTCTTAGCCTTGGCAGCAAGATTCTTGTCACTTTCAAGTAAGGAAGGACACCAAGGAAGTTTTGAGGAGTTACTTCATCACCAATTTAAAACTTTGATACACAAGAAAGCCATCAGAGCCATTAGGAGCATTGAATATTCAGACAGGGAACCAAGTTTTACCACTTAAATAGGCTTCTTCTAAGAAACTGTAAACAAACTTTTATTGATCCTGATTGAGACAAAATAATTGAACAAAATTACTAACAGCTGATGATATTTTTGGAGTTTGTATTAATATTTTATTGGGTTAATCCGAGCTATTCACCTTCACTAAGATTGAATAGCAAAGTTGGAACTAATCTACTGGAAAGCTAATCATTTGCAATGAATTTCTGGCAATCTGAATACAAACTCAAAAATCTAAATGTTAACCAACTACAACTGTATAAGTGCAACTTTGAGTTGGTCAATTGTGATATTGAAATTGATATACAAGGTGATTGATAATTGACTCCGGATTTTTGCGCCCAAATATTTTTCGAACTAAGCAGAGTAAACAGACTTGTGATATATCAATAGAATCGTCTTTGACCAGAGAACATTTTAAAATAAAAAAAAGAACTTTCACATAACTTTTACTCTCAAAAACGAACAAAAACTGCATTTTTTTCTGTTTTGGTTTTTCGAATTTTCTACAGGTTCTAGATTTCAGTTTTTCTGGCTTTTCAGTGTCAAACGAATCTTGAATGGTTTTCAAAAATATTGGGAACTTTTCATTCCAATTAATTATCTAGTTAAAATTTTTCCCTATTCTTGAATTTTCACCCCTTTTCTATCCCATTGAAAATTGACCAAAAAATGCCTCAAAAATACAGCTTAAATTACGCCAATTTTGTGCATTTTATGAGATTGATAATTCAGCCTGGAATTTTTCACTATAAATATATACATAACTTTTAAGTTAAACTTTCAGCTTTCTAATGATACCAAAAACAAAAATATTGACCCAGTAATTTCGAATTGATTATCGTTCAAACGTCCGGAGTACATTATCAATCACCCCGTACATTTACTGGCAATTAATGGTATTAACAATTTATGTTATTTTACTAAACATATAATATACTAGATTCAAAGACTAACCATATTGTAAAAATCGTTGATTTGATCATCTTCAAGGTTTTTGGGTAAAAAAGTTTTCAAATAGCAAAATAAGATAAAAATGTTATACAATGCCAGAAATAAGCGAAAAAGTGATGTAAAAAATCTCATAATTATCATTACAATGAAAATATAAGTAAAACGAAAATATTGGAAATTGAAAATCATCACTGAATTACAAAATCAATTAGGTTGCTTCATATTGTTCATTTTTATTCACTTATTAAAACATAATTAGCATTTACAATTAATCTTCATTTAACTGTTTATCCCAACTGAATATGTGACGATTGTAAAACTCAGATGAATCATTTTTCTTGCCAGAAAAAAATTTAGTGATGACAAAAGCAACAACAACACCAATAATGAGTCCAGCTGCCGCGAATAACACGATTGAACCAAAAATTGTACCGAAATGCGTACTTTTAGTGATTGCGTTGTTTTTTTGTTGGTCAATCAATCTTTGCTTACTCCTTTCGTAATTTTGACAAGAATCCGAATGAACAAGTTTCACATCAGCATCATGACTTGGATAATACTTAGATAGTTGACAAGTACTCAACCTTTTAGCATGTGCTGGGCAATAATTGAAAGAGTGACAAGTGACTTCTTTATCGTTCCAATCATGGCAAAGAGCAGCACATTGATCGGCATTGAGGTTCATTTCAGTGAGAAAAAAGTCCTGGACAACTAATGTCCCAGTTACTTCAAACCTATCCAATACTTTTGCTGTATTGAAATAAAAGAAATCTTTAGTTTGATGTATTAATCTTCATCAATGATTAATTAGTGAATTTTACTTACGAATATAAATATCACAGTCTTCACTGTAATCACTTGCTGCATCCGTGTAATGACCTGCCATACTGCATGAGCCAGAACAGAATTGGAATGATTTACATGAATCAGAATTGTAACAAAAAGAAGCACATTTTCCAAGAGAACTATCGAATGATACTGAATTTTGATTATCAGTAAATCTTTTGGACGGAATTTTCTTGAACTTTTGTAGATTGTCAATTAAGTAGGTAATGCACGATGTATCAGATGATATTGTTTGAGGCGAAATATTTTCATTGGTAGACACAAGACATTCAACTCTATCATTGTAAACACAAAACGAGAATGAATTACAATTATTGTCATTTGAATTGGCACATTTTCGGTAACAAGAACTCGAATCAGTAGCGCCAGTAACTGATATCGTCTTCATTTTGTCTTCAACCAACTTCATATTTCTGTAGATTGAATCAAATAACGAATCGTGTTCATTGTCATTGACAGTTGCTGCATCAGTCACATGATATGGAGTAAAGGTAAACATCTTGTTGTTCTCAGGCGAAATGAATGAAATACTAATGTGATTGAGTCTCTCATGGAGGTTTTCCAAAGGTATTTCTTGGCTATAGCGAAATAAGTTCTTCAATGGAGTCATGAAAACTGAACAAGCAACTCCATGATATTGATCTTCCACAAGCTTTACGTTTTTACCATCGATTCTCTGGCACAAGTATCCATCCAAAGTCTTACAGAATGCAATTGCTCTGTTAATATTTAAAAATTTTCAAACTTGAATCAATAATTGCTAGATTTAAACGCAAGTACTTACTCGAAAGGTTCATATCTATCAGAATTTTTCATCAAACAATCTTCTTCATCCCCATCAATTAGGACTTTTGACGCCTTTGTTAAAGCCTTTTCATTTAATTTCATATTTCGAATCTCGAATGCATCTATTTAGCAAATAAGAAATATTAGTAAATCAACTCATTGTGACTTATCGGCATTTTTCAGTAAAGTTTCGTTACCTTTTATTCTTGGAAAGTCCAAAATCGTTATGTAAATAATAATTTCATTGGAATTAAATATTGGTTCAATGTTTGCGATTCTTGAAGCAGCAACTGTTCCAGAGTTGACTAGTGATTCTTTAACTTTGTCTTGAAATTGGTAATAATATTGATCAAAGTAATCGCAAGAAATATCTGAAATAGGAGTAAAAAATATTCGTTTACTTTTCAAGTGACAGTTGAAATTAAATCCTGGCTTGTTACGAACCTTTACAGGTGAAATACATTGAAATAGTCTTCGATTCAGGATCAGGATAGCAGTTTTGAACATTAAACTTTCTTGTTGCTTCTGATGCGCTTATCTCATGTCCATAAAAGAAGTATTCGGTCGTCCGTGAAGCATTTAATTGAACCTGAAAATGTATTGGGGTATTTAATGCGAAATTTTTACACGCTAACTTTATTAAGACTGTCTGGGCTATGATAATATTATAATATGTTAGATGTTTCACTTAAGAAAACAAAATGAATCTTGACTTGAGAATCGTGTACAAGTAAGATACAACGGTATTCGTTTACTACATTTATTTGTATTCAAATTGAAGCTCCTTCATGGTTACATTGTTATTGAATACTCGACAATCAACGAGCGGTCTATCTTCCTGACTGGATAACATTTATTCTAAATACATTAAATTCTCCATTACAGCTATAGTTGCGTCTAGTTGCTGGTCCATAATATCAACACACAAGGAACTTTTAGATTACCTGATTTTATCATCTATTGAATAAGTTAGCTCAATGTTATACAATGATATATAATTGTAACAGTTGATTAGTAATTAGTCTGAGCGTAGCGAAGACTAAGGTATTAGACTCAGGCGAAAAAAATGACCATTCCACTGATGTAGAGACCAAACGGCTTAACGGATTTGTATGAAATTTTCGAATATGAAAGGTTATATAAATATGCAGCTCTGAGATAAAGATTTTTTATATCACCTTACAGGGTGTCCCAAAAATAACGTTTTTCAAGTCGTAAAAATCGTTTTTTTAGACTGAAAAACTCTATGATGTACTTAGGTACACCAAATTCAGTGAGCTTACGTAAAAAAATATTAGAAATTATTTAACAAAAAAATCGCGCATGCGTGAATTTTTTTTGCCAAAATAGCTCATTTTCGTGATTTTTCGTAACAGTTGATGACTGTTTTGCTAGATACGCTAAACATACGCAAGATTATAAGTTAATCTTTTCATCTTCTTTATTTCAAACTCATACCTCTATCTTCATGCACAATTTTACTACTTAATTGAGTACCAGGTGATTTTAGGGCATTCAGGCCTGTTTACAGCTATAACTCACGTTAGCTCAGGTTACGCCGATCCAGAGACTGTACGCCAAAACATTCACAGCACTAATAGGATGCTAACAATGGCAATGGCGTTTGACCAATGCTGTGGTAAATCTTAACTCAGTGAACAGAATGGGCGCATTCAACGATTTACCCGGCAGAGATTAATTGATGGAAATAGATAGTATCTCAATCAGGTGTAAATTTTAAAATGCTGAATCAATACGAACGCTAACCCGAATTAGTTCTTTTTGCTCAAAACAACTTGTAAGGTGATACAAAGAAATCAGATCTGTTGTAAAATTGCCTGTTTCTTTAAAACCTTTTGAATTGGGTTCCTGTTCTGCTTTTCGATTGCATTCCCCCGTACACACGCAACTGTCATGAAAAATAGTCATTTTTGTTGAAAATAGTCTTCAGATAATAGAGTAAGATTGAATGATTATGCTAGGCTTCATAAGCAAGGTCAAGTTCTAGCATAAATCATTCAGGTCACCAAATTTTCACCAAATCTGACAACATGAGCCTAGAAATTCTATTCGTTTTTCGTAGTATTTTTAATGTTCTGATACTCAACCCAAAATAAAACCTAAGCATCGAAAAATCTGTTTTATAATTGAATAAAAGGCGATCGAAGTTTCGACTTTGACAGTGATTTTCTTAAAAACTGTCGATTAGAAAAAAATTTTAATAGCTATAATGAACTCAGTTTTAATGCTTCTAAAAATTCTCGCAGTCCCTACTCTTAACTCAAAGTTTTTATAAATACTGTTTTTCGAATCGATATTTCACGAAAGAAAATTGAATTGAGCGGAATTACGAAAAAAGAAATCGCATCGTGATTTGATGAAATTCAAAAGTTCATATAGCTTTTGCTTAATAGAATCATACAAAAATTATGTGTAGTTTTTGCTGGGTGTATGCATATTGTCTGCAATCGTTGTCAGTTTCTCAAAGGCAAACGCTCGCTCAGACTACGCCGGCTCCCGGCTGACCTAGTTAATAATTACTAACAAACTGTAACTTCGAACAACCCTTCACAATACTTACCGCGGTGTCATAGGCATTGATTTTGGTGCCGATAAGAGTGTAGCCAGAAGTAATATCCTGTAAAAGCAACATTCAAATTCATTTATTGTTAATAGTTTTTCATTGTATTGGGTTAAACTTACAGTCAACTTGTTGAAATACTGAGTAGTAACGACACGTGGATATGTCTTTTCCTCGACTTTTGCCTGCTCTTCACTTATTTGCCAAGCATGTGTTCCGATTCCATTCCGTTCATCCTAAAATAAACATTAAATTATTTTTAAATCATGATTTAAAGCACTAACAAAGTTCTTACAAAAAGTGCTGGCCCAAAATAGCGATAATTCAAATCAAAGTTGAGTAATCGATTCAAATCAAGTTTAAAGACGTCATAACCCAATGATGAATCCTGAACTAAACCCGGTGCTGATAGTTTCATTGGAGAAACTGAACAATTTCCGTCTTCTGTCAATTCATATTCAATTCCTAATTGATAATCATAAATGGTTTCAGTTGTAAAAATCTTATTATTTCCATCAGTTGAACTTTTAATGTTTAGGATTTGATACTTTTCATCAGCATAAACCTGCAATAAGTGCATTTATTATAATATATTTGACCAAACAAATGGTATAATTTTTCTTACTTCTTCTCTCTTTGATGGGCCAGCATTGAAACTTTTGGTTTTGGAAATGAAATGAATCGAATGTTCTGTTATCCTAGGAAAAGGTTCACGAGGTACAGCCAGAGAATCAATAGCTGATTGTTGGCAGTAGGCAGTTGGATTAGGCTAGGATAGAGTACGGTTGAAATTGAAATGTAATAAGAATTTCAAGCAATCGCTTAACAAATGAGCCAACAAAATTACTTACCGTAACAATTGTATCAAAATTTTGTTCAACTCGTGTGTTCATATAAATGTCAAACCAATAGATTTTATTTGGATTATTGAGACGTGAATCATAGCCGTAAAACTTGACTTGATTTGGTTTTTTGATTCCAGTTTCATAATTATCATCTGCATGTTCATTACTTTTAATCAATTTCGGGTAATCACATCATTTAATGATTCTTACCTGTGAAATAAAAACACACATCGAGGTGTTGATCAAGGGTCACTTTAGCAGCATGTTCTTTGATTCCTCTGACAACTTCATCTTCACTTGGTTCCTGGGTTTAATAGGAAGCCAAAATCAGTCCGAGTATGCATTTCAAAATTAGATTAAATATCTTGTCCAGCTTGACTTACCCAAACATGTAGGTAATCAACTATGCTGAATATAACTGAAGGTCCGACGAATGCCAAATGATTGAGAAAATCATTTCCCAATAAAGGTGTCAAGTGATGACTCCAACCCTTCTCTGTATATGTGATTAACGCACAGGAATGAGCTAAAAATAGAGATCAATCAAACTGATGCATGTAAAGTAAGTTATACACAAAACTTACCACCAAAAAGTAATCTGTTGTATCGCTTTGTATTCGTATAAAACATTGATTGAACAGCAAAATCATCGATTTTAAAATCTATTCTGCCTCTGATTGTTCCATTTGTAGATTTAACATACTGGATAATATTTATCTCATGAGAACTCTTCTGAAAATCGTAATATTAAATTAATATCAAAGCACAAACGAACGGTTTCTTTTGGTCTACTTACTTCATATAAAAGTTTCGCTTTTATCAGCCAATTACCATCTTCAATGATTATCGGAAGTTCCACAGGCATCACTAAAATAATTGTAAAGTTTATTAATATATTCACAATATAATATATCATCAGTCGATATTGCAACTAATCAATCGCAATTTACCTGAAAAAACTTCACTTATGACAGTTGTGCATAAAAATACAAACAAGGTTAATATAATCATATTGTGTTTCCAGTTAAGATGATCATTCACAAGCACAAATATTTGACTTAATGACAACAAAATGAAGTCAACATCGATTTTGTCTCCAGTTTTTATTTTCAATAATCAACAACAAAAACGCCCAAAACAGTAATTTAATCAAAATTGGCTTCAGTTCTAGTGTCTTATTAGTCAAGTCGATTTGGATTTGCACCAAACTCTTGATATAAAACTGACGAGTAATTAGAATAATCAAAATAAACTTTGTACATTTTATAGCCAAAACAATCACATTTATCAACAAATTGGCACAAATGGACCAAAAACGTGAAAAATTGATTTCAGTCTCTGTTGGTTGTCGGGCATAAAATCGAGTCCATTTGTGCAGTGTGAAAATTTCTCTGATTGACAGTTCTCATGAAGATCAAACTCAAATTTGATACCTGCCAAGCATTTCTACAATCAAGTAGTCAGATATTTGCATCAAACATTCTTCTGTTGTATCTGGTAAAGAATCGAAATGGCTAATTCAAAACATATCAAATCAAAATGAAAATGTTTAATTGTTCGAGTCTCTAGACTCAACCTGAAGCGATAAAATCAAGAAATTAAACCGAGTTTTTCATCATATCACCACATAAACATGAAAAGGTAGGGTAAAAACAAAAAATGATGACATCGTCATTCGGTTGAAAATCTATGATTAACTTGAATTGCATCAGCTAAGGATTCTGCAAAAAGCAAAAGGAATCTTATTCGCTTTGATTCTGATTTTTGAAATAAAATAATTCATGAAATACCGATAGATAAAACACGATATGACAAATATTTAGGCTTAAATTGTCCATAATACAAGTACCAGGGTACTTACAAAGTTAGTATATCAGTGAATAGATTTTATCATTTAAAGTATTAATACAAAATTTCAGCAGAAAATATATTGAGTGAGTGAAGGGGAAAAACTTTTTAGCTATTCAGGTTGATAGCTCATTGTTGGACCAGGATTTTATGTAAAACTTTGTCTTTTGGGGTTGCTGAAAAAATCTGGTTCCTTAATTGCACAGAAGATGATCTATTAAGTTTCAATTTGAAGTCTAATTTTATAAAAAATGTCTACCAGAGCAATCTTTTAGTTGCACAAATGCACTCATTTCATGCCTTTGCAATCAACAATTGATCAACTCGAACAAAAATTTCAACGACTCTGATTGAAGTTGACATTACAATGGGCAAATATTAAGCACAAATAACATTTCATTAGTATTCGTCTTCATTGTTTTCTTGTTTTAACTTGAATCGAAAAGACATCTGTCAACAAAAAATAGCGCCGACGATCTTGCAGTTAAATAAATTTTAATACAATTTGATGAAAATTTACAGTCATCAAGACTGATTAGATTCTCTGATGTCAATGAAGCTTAGTGCAAAAGCTTTGGGAAAATTCTTGTTAATTTTGAGTCACGATTGCACTGATTTACAATGGCATTGGGACTTTGATGAAGCAAAAAATAAAATAATAACGAGATAAATGATAATGTTAATGGGACAAAGAAAACAGTTTTGTTTCAATCTTTTTTTAAAACAGTTAATTCAGTTTCTTTTGTTATCATTTATTCAATCAAATCATTCATGTTGTCAACTCGAAATCAGTTATAAAATTGATTCTTAACTAAATGTTCATCAATTATTACGATTCTTCACCTCACATGTAATCGTCACCATTAACTGTAATCTCTGTTCTTGTTCATTATAAAAATGCCATAAATAACTGAATCATATTTTCTGTTGAAAATATTTATTTCTATCTGTTAATGAATCAATTGAATTTGTGAGTGAAAAAACGTTTTACTTGTTTCTTTTTTTCTGTTTTCATCTTTACACATTTACTTTATCTTCGAAATGAGAAATGCTCTTCGAAAAAATTTCATTGCTTTTTAATGATTCGATGCGAATGGCGGAAATGCGCTTCAATCAACTACACAAAATTCATGGAGGAAATGGCAATTAGACAAGAATTGGAATTCTGATTATTTAATTTCGCTCAAACATATTTCAAGAAATGTCAGCTTTTCATTTGTTATTCAACAGAAAATTGTTAAAATGTCCCCAGAATTCACAATTGGAGATTGTGCTGGAGGCTATCGAATTGAGAATCGAGCTAAAAATTTAAGAAGAAGAAGCCTATTTAAGCGGTAAATCTTGGTTCCCTGTCTCAGAATTGGCTCAACAAATGAAATATATGAATCCATGAAGGATACTTTAACTGGGGTTAATATCATGGTTAGTAATTCAGTTACAAATGAAGCCAATGTTCCCATTGAGATATAAATTAATTGTCTGGTTTATCTTTAAGTTTCTCTGGTAACTCAAAATTTGGTGTTTCTGTCGAGCGAATAGATGAGTCAAGACTGTTGTGTAACTATCGGTTTCCAAGTTCTTCTAACACACTCTGAGCTTCCTAGAAGCTAGATCAGCAGTATGGCTCAACCGGGTTGAGTATTTATCTCAATATTTCAACAGGGTTGAAACTAAGAACTGAACAAATAGTCACTTCTAATTGTAATAGTCCAAGACTATTCACAGGATCAAACTAGATCACAAGTTCACAAGTAATACCGAGTATTACAGAGGTTTCACCAACCTAGTTGGCAAGATGAGTATTCCTAGAATACTGAACAGATAGATTCCGAGAATCTATTACAATGAAGGACACACGTTGAGTTAACTCTAACTAGTTTAATACATCAAAGGTCACTTAAATAAAGATTACAAATTAAGGCTATTTATATCAAAAATAAAGGAAATTAAAGAAAAGGATATAAATGAGAATAAAGGAAATACCGAGTATTTCCAGTTAGCAACAGTTAACAGTAGCAACCCGGTTGCTACCTAATCCAACAGTACAGAGCGCGAACATTGAATCACACAACATTCCCCCCGACTGACATTAGACCACCGGTCCATTATCTCCTAGAGTAACTTCGATCGATTGACCATCCACGACCCGTTCACCGGGTGGCAAAGCAATCCAGAAAGTCGGTCTGTGTCCTACTTGATGTTGGCGAAGCGTCTGATGCGTTCCCAACACAGTGTAGTCAATTCGTATGATGGAACCCAGTTCCGTATTGAAATACCTTTCGATCCGGGATCGAAGATCACTAGCTCGCATTCCTGGATTCAAATCTTTGAATCTTCCCGAGCGACCACCAAAGCGTACAATCACCTGAGGAGCAACACCTCGATATTCGTTGCGGCAACGAATGTTGTTCATCATACCCCGAGGTCTGTTGTCTTGTCTTGCTTGGGCTAGTTCTTCACGAACTTCATCTCGCTCCATCATAAGATCGATAACTTGAGTCGCCAACTCTTCATTTCGACCATTCAATGCTTGAATCCGGGATTCAAGGCTTCTAACATAATCCCTACAATTGTGTCCTCTTCTAGGAACAGCACAATTTTCACATGGGAGACTTGCATTCGGATTGAAATTGCAAATATCGATGTGTGCTTTTAATTCATCGTATCCAACGATAACTTCACAGGCTTCATATCTGCATCTAACCTGGAGGCTATTGAGAGTGGCCATGTTTCTTCTCCCACCTTCCAAAGGTAAGGGGCCAATTCCGTTTCTCAATAACTCATTACGATTGCATTGAAAGGGACAGTATTGGTTTGCTGAGGCTTCCAGGAAGCGCTCAAAACAGTTTGTACATAAGATCGTCGGGCAACCTGGTTGCGGTGAGGTTACATGAACCAACGGATCAATAGCTACATTTAAACAAAGTAAACATTTATAATCCTCAAACTCTTGAGGGTTTACCATTTGACGATGAGTTAACACATTTACATCATCAACAAGCTGCCATTCTTGTACCGGTGGTGGAGGTAGGTTATCCGGTTCTCCAATAGCGATATTCCCAACACGATCTACACCAGCGACAACCAAACGAGGTTGACCATTCGGATCCCATCTTTGCGCTTCAAAGATTATTTCTGGAAGATCTCCATCAGCATCTTCCAAAGGTTCCCACTCAATATCCATGATTTGATGAGGAAAAGTTGAACCCGGTTCAACAACACAAATAGATAACTTCCGAGAAGTTGACAAACACCCAAAATTATGTATTACGAGAATACAAGCTGAAGTATATCCAATATACTC